AAATTTTATAAAGATAATAATTAAGTATTCTGTTAGAATTTAATGATTATACTAATTATATTTTAGATTTTTTATATTTAAAATGAGATGTTTATCTTGTATTTGATTGTGTTTATCTGCAGTTAGTTACACAAATTCAGATATGGGATGAAATCGGATAGGGATGAACGAGTGTAAGAGTTTTTAAGAGTTTTAACCAAATGCTTTATAAGATAGTATAGATATATTGCAAAAGCAAACATATTGTAAGTTATACTTGTTCATAAACATTGAATCAACGGTGGTCGATCTTGGTTATGATTCTGGAATTATTCTAATATATATATATATATATACACATTAAGTGCTTTTGTATTTTACGTTATATTCAATGTGCTGAAACCATTCAGTTTTTGTGTCTTAAAAACTTTGAACTGCTTACTGAATTGAATCTCATTCAGATGAGGAAGACAAAGATATGAATACCAATTAAACATGTTGAGATTCGAAAATCAAATTAAACGCTTCAAATTTACGTGTTTTCATACGTTTAAAACCCATAAACGAAAAAACTAAGGGGTTGTTTACTCGACTCTTACCTGATAAGAGCTTACTGTCAAGATTTCATACTTCCATTTACCTTATGAGGTAAGATTTCAATTTATTAAAACAATATTATATGCAACATTTTTTTCGAGTCGTCATTTTCACTTATTGGGTAAGACTCTCAGTATTTTTCATCGTCATTACCGGGTAAGATTATCAACCTTTGTCATGTTCATCCGATAAGGTAAAGTGACCCGATAAGCACTTACCAAATAAATATTTAGTAAACGAGCCCTAACACTTGTATAATTAAAACATTTGTGAATAAAAAAATGTAGATTCATGATTCAGATGAACTTAAATTGGATGTATTTAGACCATAAGTTTGCAAGTAATTGCATCCTCCACTAATGAATTGTATTGTTAGAAGGACCTCCATTATCAACCTCTTTTAAAAAACATCCCAATTGATATACATATATATATATATATATATATATATATATATATATATATGGTTGGGTTCACGTGAGACCAAGAGTTTTTCGTGAGACTCGTAAGATCAATTTATGTTCATTGATCAACTTTATAAGTTAAAGATCTAATGGTCTAAATTGCACGGTGGTAATTTTGTAATTATTGAGAAGTCTCATGGCGTTTGTGAATGTTCAGATCTGACGATTGTAGATCTAATCCAAGGGTTGAGAATTGGTCTTACGGGTCTCACGAAAAAACCTTGGTCTCACATGATACCAAGTCTATATATATATAGATTTGGTATCATGTGAGAACAACCTATTTTCGTGACACCCATATGACCACCTTTTATTTTTGAAACTACACAAGTAAAACACTGTGAAGGTAACTTTCACAATTCACAATGTTTTTGTTGTGAATGTTTGAAATTTTTTACACGTTCACAATGTTTTGTTGTGAAGTTTCAAGTGTAAAAATTATGGTCTTACAAATCTCACGAAAATAGGCTGGTCTCATGTGACCCAACCTTATATAGGCGAGGGATCATGTAAGAACGGAAGTTATAGTGAGAAGCGTAAAAATATATCTAAACCCTTGATCACTTTTAATTTTATGCTCACCTATGAATTGCAATTTAAAAAAAACTTGATCTGGTGCATCTCGATGCACTTCATTAATGTTGTTATTCAATTAAAATTAATCCAAAAGTGAAGATTTCTTCTTATGCTTCTCACTGTAACTTTTTTTCTTACCAGAACCCAACCTACCCTCTGTGTGTGTGTGTGTGTGTATACATATAGGTGGGGTTCAAACGAGAACACCTTCATTTTACGAAAACACAAGAATACCCTTATCACATGTGATAATACGCATGAGGGGACCTGGTGATATGCGGAAGACGTGTTCTACGACTTAGGTCGTGCCAAAGGTTGTTTGCGTTTATGATTTAGCATCACATGTGATGGTTTTGATGAATTATAGTATCATATTAACAACACTCTTATCACATGTGATAATACTCTCTCTCTCTCTCTCTATATATATATATATATATATACACATATATAACAGGTTGAGTTTTGGTGAAAATGGAAATTATGGTGAGAAGAGTTGGATCAATCGTAATTGGAGATCGACATTAATGTTGTGCAACAAAATGCATCGGATCAATTTTCGTAATAACATGATTCATTCTTTCGCTTCTAATCTTAACTCTTATTCTCATACGATAACTCTAATATATATATATATATATATATATATATATATATATATATATATATATATGAAAAGGGAAACTATTGGAAAGAAAGTAATTGACCATGGCGGTACGTGGGTCGGCATAATTAAGTCCCACTTGGTTCATTTTCTTTATTATGTAATGATTAGACATAATCATTTATGTTTGTGATTTTGTTATGAATATAGTAATAAACAGTTAATCGATATAATTAAAAGACCAGTTATCAATTTGAACAGATAAATATAACAAACAAGTAAGATACAGCTGAAATTAATGTGTGTACAGTATACACTGATACCCATAGAAAGAACAACATACATATATTATTTGGGTTGGGTTGAGTTGATCGGGTTGAAGACATTTAAACAACTCAACATAATATTTGGGTTGAGTTGGGTTGCACTTTGGTTTGAATTGAGATTTTTCAAACCACAAATATTAGGTTAAATTGCTCAAATATCTTCAACCTGATCAACCCAACTCATAAGCACCCGTAGCTGGTCTGATGATTATCCAATTCCCTTTCCCTTTAACCGAAACTCTCTTGTCACACGACCGTTGTGGCTCTCCACTTTAACTACCCGATCTTTATGCAATGGGCCACGTCATCATCAACTCCTCCGTAATTCAGGATCATAGACCAAAAAAATTACTTGGAATTTGTGGGTTTAAGGTATCTAATATATTACTATGATTAAATGGTGGTATTAATTATAAGCATTAGGAGTCATCATTAGTCAAGTCAAGTAGCTTTTTGAATAAGCCAAGTCTAGTGGTGGTCTCCTTTCTGGTCCACAAACTTCAAATCAATTTCTACCCTCACTAAATTACGGATTTGGTCCTTTGGTTTATACTTTTATTACAAAAAACCCCATCTGGTAAACCTTTTCGACATGTATCGATTCCTACCACTAACGGTTGTTAACTTTCATCTGTTAAGTAAGGGGCATTTTAGTCATTTTCTTTTCTTTTGTCTTTTTTCTCATTTAAATAGAAAATATATGTTGTCTCCTCCCAACCCGCTTCCTTATTCCCTTGGTAACGAAATCAAGAGTGCACACTTGATTTCTGATCACTATACATTATCTTCGCCCCATCACACAGCATAACGCACACGTACACACAAAAAACTCGATATTTAACCTAAATCCAAATATTTTGAAATTGTAATACATTAATAAAAAATATTTTGAAAATATATTGTTATTAAGAAAAACTGAAAGTATAATGCTATAATAAATAAACTAGGGTGGTGTGTATTTTATTATTATAAAACTCTTTAGGACGGTGGAAGTTTATTATATTTAAATCTCTTTTCTTAACCAATAAGATGCATATCCACATATTTTAATAGTTTTCTCATGTATGCACAATAACTCATCCATACACATATATATACAGTCCGTGCACTTACTTAAATAAACATGTATGTTATTACATATTCACATAATAACCACATAAGGATTACCTCAACTATTGTTCCTTAAATTCCGGTTATCACAGTTATAGATTTCAAAGAGGGTCATCCAAATAAAGATAACTTTATTAGGCAAACCTCATTATATGACACAAATGCATCCAATCCACCTTTCTTATACATTTCATTTTGTTCAAATCTTTCAACTCTTCATCAATGTGGGATATCTCAAACTCAACTACAATTCACCAATACCTTAATACCCAATTCTCATAATGTCAGCTTAAACACTCATGGTTCTTCTTTTAATAAATATATAAATTTGTAAAAGTAAGTTGATATTTCCTCTATTTTGCTATTAATAAAAATATATCTGTATTCATTCAAATGAGAAAAAAAAAGACTAAAATACCCTTTAATTAACAAATAAAACCAGAATCCAGAATCTCTTCCACCATTGAAATCGAAGAAAGATTGCAATATTTTGGACCGAAATCAATGGATGAACTCAAAAATTCACAGACACCAAGAAATCAGAGGTTGATTCTAATTTTAGATCCTCAATAAATACCATTAAAACACCTTCATCAACATAAATGATTCAACTCAATGGGATCCAAATCATCCATCGTTTTCCCCACCTTCATCTTCATCTTCATCGTGATCGCGCAGGCTGAGGTTTTCGACATCACTAAGTTCGGTGCAAAACCTGATGCTGAGATTAGCAAGGTAATGAAAAACCTTCAAAACCTCCATTAATGGAGGTTTAGTTACCTCTTAATTACCATGGATCATCAATGGGTTTTCTTTTCCAGGCTCTTTGTGATGCATGGAGTGCTGCTTGTAGTGCAACAACGCCCAGCAAACTCCTCATTCCTTCCGGCACCTTTTGTTTGAACGTAGTCGAGTTTAAGGGACCGTGTAAGGCTCCGATCACCGTTAAAATCGATGGAACGTTGAAAGGTCCCGAGGATCCCGCGGTTATTCCTAAAGGCGTGCAATGGATCACGTTTAGTTACGTCAGTGCCTTGACGATAACGGGTACGTACCAAAATCATTGATTTGTAAGCGATTAGTTTACGAATTCCAATAAACAATATGTTAAGATACGTGGAACCCAAGGGCGGACCCATTATGGTAGGGGCGGCCTTATGTATGTCCGAGGGGATTTCTATGCACCCCGCCCAACTTATTAAGGTGGATCCGCTAACGGGATATTAGAAAATAGAAGAAATATCAACCAAAAAGATGAAAAAAGTACCTCAGACCAAAATACTTAAAAACCTCGAGAAACTACAAGGTCAAATTCAGCTAAAAACACATTGGACGACTTTGCGGGCCTTTGATCCACCTAAAAGGTGCACCCGCTCGACATAAATCCTGGGTCCGCCACTGCATTATGGTGCATATGGTGTGATGGGCCACCACTTACTTCCTCTGTCGTAGTGCCACCATATTATTTTGGTTGGGTGAATGCATATATTATTTGAAACTACAATAATAACACAAGTTTTTCTTGATAGAGTTGGTTTACACGGTCTTTCCCCCTTTCAGGCACGGGTTTGAAACTCATTTATATCATTTTCTTTGTTTTTAACTTTTAATTTAAGGTTTATTATGTTTTTGACATGTCCCCACATACAAAAAATAAAGAACTAACCAACAGATCAACGATGATTCTGTAAAAAGTATTCATTAGCTTCGTTTTTTATAGTCAAATAGTGTCACCACTTGAAAATATTTCAAGGACTGCATATGGTGGAATCCTTTGAATCTCTCTTTAAAAGAAAAACGTATATATAGAGAGAGAGCTGAGGTTCTTACATATATACAGGTTTGATGATCGTATACTGTATCAGGTTGTGGTACCTTAGATGGTGCTGGAGGAGCCATTGCGTGGCCGATGAAGGATCCCGTTGCATGGCCGGCGTCGGATCCCCAAAAAAAGAGTAGTGTCAAGAAGTGTAGTCTCCAATATGTACGTATATATCGATCCGAAACTCCATGAATGAATTTAAGAATTGAGGATGAGGGTTGGACCTCATGAGACCAGCCTAGTTTCGTGAGACCCGTGAAACCAGCTGTGAAGGCAGAAAAACACACCGAACCTTCGTTGTGAAGGTACAAAATAAAACCTTCACAATGTTCTTGTTGAGAAGGTCTGGTACTTTTTGTGCTTTCGCAGTGTTCTGCTGTAATGGTTCAGTGTTATTTTGTTGTTTCACGCACAGATCTCACGAAAACACGTTAGTCTCACATGATCTAGGTCTTGACGATGCTAATAATATGTTTAATACATGCGACACAGAATCTTTGCCTTAATTTCATCGAGAACGCTATGATTTCGGGAATAACCTCGAAAGACAGCAAGATGTTCCATGTTAACGTGATGTCTTGCAAGAACGTAACATTCGACAACTTCCACATTTGCGCTCCATCAGAGAGCCCCAACACCGACGGAATCCATCTGGGGTGGTCGAAACAAATCACGATCAAGAACTCCGTTATCCAAACCGGTGACGATTGTATCTCCATTGGCGACGGATGTGAAGAGTTGCACATCGAGGGAGTGAAATGCGGTCCAGGCCACGGTATCAGCGTTGGAAGCTTAGGTAAAAACAGCGGTGAGAAACCCGTGATCGGAGTTTATGTCGTTAACTGCACCTTCAACCAAACAATGAACGGAGTTAGGATCAAAACGTGGCCGGATTCCCACCAAGGGGAGGTTGCCGATCTGCATTTCGAAAATCTTTGCATGAATCAAGTCGAAAACCCGATTATCGTCGAGCAAGATTATTGCCCACATAGCGTCTGCCCAAAAGATGTACGTAATTCTCGCATCAAAAACTTACTACAACAAAATCGAGTTTATAAGACGGAAACGGTTTCTAGATGATCAAATACATTGTTTTATAAGATTTAAGTTTATAGGACAAAAAAAAAGACATCACATCTAAAGGTGTTGTCATAAGTTTATACGATACTTTTGGGCGTCTTAACAAATTTTTTAGGACATTTTCAAAAAATGTCCTATAAACACATCTTTTTATTAAACACTAGTTTTATAAGACATTTTTTTAAAAAATGTCTTATAAAATAGTTAATACAACGTTTTTATATTAAAATGTTCTAAAAGACTTGTTATGACACCTAAAAACGTCTTATAAACATATGACAACACATTTAGCTACGACACTTTATTATTTGGTCCTATAAATTAAGTGTTATAGAGCAGCTTAACCTAGTGTTAAAACTTTTAGATAGGACGATTTTGGGTTTGGTTCTATAAACTTAAGTCCTACAAAGTATTTTATTATGATACTTAGACATTTTAGACGTCCTATAAAACCAATTTTCTTGTAGTTTATAATCTCAATTTTGTTGTAGCGAGAATTCTTAATTTTGAAATCATATTCTTCCCTGAATCTAATTTGGTTCGAACCATACAGAAACCATCGTTGGTTAAGGTTCACGACATTTTCATCAAGAACGTAACTGGAACAGCAACGTTACCCGCAGTTGTGAACCTTAAATGCAGCACGGCCAACAACGGTTGCGAGAACGTGAAGATTTCCGACATTAATTTAACGTATGAAGGTAAAGAAGGCCCTGCGTTCCAAGAATGCTGCAACGTAAAACCCGTTTACTCCGGCAAAATGATCCCTCCGGCCTGCTCAACGGCCGATGAGTGATACGTACTTCACAATCCGTACGAGGTGATTTAGTATTTGTGGCTAAAGCGTAAGAAAACAAAGTTTGGTGATCGATATGGAAGGAATAGAAGTTGCAGGGTTGCAGATCGTTTTAGTTAGAATTTTGAGGTTACCAGAGTCAATTTATCAAACTCCGAGGACCAGACTGAAAATTCAGTAAATATGTTTCATTTTTTTTAGTTAGCTTCTTCTGTCTGCTAGATATTTCTGTGTAAATTCGTCGTTCTTGAGTGATTCATTCAGATATACTTTAAGCATTCGATTATTGTACTCTAATCTTTAGTTTTAGATCAGTTTTTTTTGTGATTATTGATATACTGCTTAGTTCTTGTATTTTTCATTTCTTAATAACGTCATTTGTTCAACATGGTATAAAGACGATTTTATGATCTTTATGGTCTTCTTTGTTAATCGATAACATTCATGTTAGGATTTTCGTTCCTATTCTTTTAAGGTACATTTGCTCTAGAATAATAGCTAATACGATACTTTATTATAAATTTTTTTCCTAAAAAACTTGTTAAAATGCCCAAAAGCGTCCTGTAAACTTATTACAACACTTTTAGATATGACACTTTATTGTGTGGTCCGATAAATTTAAGTTTTATAAAGTGGTCTATTATGACACTTATAAATTGTTGTAGCATCTGTATATTGAAGCCGAGGGTTTTAAGATTTAATGGGCTATAAAAAATAGTTTCTTTTTAGGAACCCTCTTCAAGAATAAACAAAAACAAACTAACCCGGGATATCCTACTCGAAAGTAGGGTTTAGGGTTTGGAGGTTGGGATGTACATAGATTTGACAGATATTACATTTCTATGCTTTTGGTTTCGGCTTTTTTTAAGCATGCTTCCTTATTACAGTTCTTCATGGAGTATAATAAATTGCTGGAATCTTCCAACTACATCACCAGACGAATTGTTGTCAAGGTCTTATATCTTTTTTGATTTACCTCTTTATCTGCATCGTTACCATCACCATCGTTATGATCTGTTTCAACATGATTCGAGTTTCGTGTTTCAACTGTCAGGAGCAATGTTACTGGATCGTTAGCTGTGATGGTCTGTTACGTGAGTTCATTGGACAACATCAGGATTCTCATGAATCTTCTCTGGGTATGCTTCTATTCCCTACATATCGTCCTACGTGCGTTTCAAAAATGCTTCTTGATCATTTTTGTTAAAACCAAATGATCTCAGTATATCCTACCCGAAGGTGGGATCCAGACATGTCCTCTATCCAAAAAAGTTAATCATTTTCCTTTTCTTTTTTGTTATTACAGGATTCAAACAAGCAAATACAGTTACAAACTTTCCATGTGTTCTAAGATAATTAATGAAGTGTAGTATCTTTCTCCATTTAAATTATGTGAAACCCTTTTTTTATTAACCTGAATATCCAACTCGCTATGCGAGCTGACTAATCCCAGGACGACCACCTGCTTTGTAGATAGCCCGGAGTCACCGTATTTGAACCTCCGTGGCCACAAGGAGATTTTTATTTCTCTTTGGATTTGAATCTGGGATCTCCTGGTACTTTTGACCTTTGAAGCCAAGCTCAAACCAATAAGGTACCACCCTTGTGCTTTATGTGGAACCTCTTTGAATCTTTCTCTAAAAGAGTCCTACCAAGAGAGAAAGAGGGGTTCCTATACATCCAGGGAATCTTTTTTTGAGAACTCACAAAATTGTGAGAACCCTGAAACCAATGCACCATGTGCTGTTTTATATGATTTTTTTTCATTTAAAGGTTATGATTTAGGATATTGATTAACATGTGTTTGGTTCACAATGTGAAGCTTTTTGACGTGTTTATGAAAAAAAGGTACACGTAAAAGTATCACATTATTAAACGAGTGCATATGAAACAATCACATTGTGAAACAAATATGTGTTGATCAATACATTAAATACTAGTCTTAAATATATAAAACCACAAAAAGTGGAAAACTAAGGAACATTCTAATGACTATTCATTTGTCCGGTATGCACGTGTGCATTTGGAACCAATAAACATTTTCAATTACTTTATGCACATATGCATACAGGACAAATGAATGGTTATTAAAGGTTCCTCAGTTTTCATTTTTTGTGGTTTTCCACTGAACCTGAGTCTATAGATTTGACGGCCCATGTCTAGCTGATGCAGGATAGAAGCAAACTCCTTCGGTTCTTAAGGTCTTGGCCCGTGACCTAGGTTGCACGAATCACGTGTAATTTGATTGTACTCGTATTTTCTTATTTGGTCATTGTTTTGGTTTGAATCGAACTCTACATATCAATAATTAAATACAAACATAATAAACGTAACAAACTCGTAAGAATCAATCAAAATCATCCAATTGGTTTGATTTTAAGTTGGGATTCATTTATTTGTTTTGTTCTTGTATGTGTATGTGTGTATGTTCATATATAAACGTATTTTTGTTTTTTTTTCAACCGCAAAACAGCCGTGAACCATTGTATATATGAAACAACTTTTTATGAACACTTCATATTTCATATATGTAACTTACAATCACGTGAAACATGCAATACTGCTTCATATATGAAAATTTGATGACTGTTTACCATGCGGGAAAAAAAAACACGAAAATATGTTGGGACGTTTAAAACGATTTTATGGGACGTTTAAAAGGTAGAAGTGTCTTAAAAAAAATACCTTATAGGACTTTGGTTTATAAGACCAAACCAAAAAACATCCTACGCCTAAAAGTGTTACAAAAAATTGATTTATAGTACGTTTTTAAGCGTTTAACATGTTTTTTTGAACATTTTTAAAATATAGTATCGTCTCAACTATTTTATACTGAGGGGTTGTTTGTTTACTTTTTAACAGTTCTATTAAGAGGCAATATCTTAATCATTAAGAGGTGAATATTGTTTGGCAAAAAAAAGTCTGCCTCTTGATGGTTCTAAAACCCTTTGAATGATTTTGTATCATCGGCCTCTCTTAACCATTAAGAGCCCTAATTTCATTGTAAATAATTATCAAACAATTATATTTCATTTTGCACTATATCATGAGAAGCCTCTTAATCATTCTGACCACTTAATGATTCTGCACAAAACCATTCAGCAACTGCCAAAAAGCCCCTGACATTGTTTGAAAAAGTGTTCTATAAACCCAAGTGTCCCATAAAAAAAATGGGTTTATAGGACATTTCTCAAAAAAGTTTTATAAAATAGCTAACATAATACTTTATTTCAAAATGATCCTAAAAAACTTGTTATAACACCTAAAACCATCATATAAACTTATTGTAATACTTTTGGATAAGACGTTTTATAATTTAGGGGCCGTTTACCAAACATTTACCCGGTAAGTGCTTACCGATAAAATTTAACACTATCATTTATTTACCGGGTAAGATTTTAGTCTATTAAAACAATATCGTATGCATCAATTTACCCGGTAAGCGCTTACCGTGGTAAGAGTCGTTATCCTCACTTACTGGATAAGACTTTTGGTCCTTATCTTGCTCATATCGGGTAAGATTCTTGGTTCTTACCACATTCATCTGGTAAGGTAATGTGACTTGGTAAGTGCTTACTCGAATAAGCCAATTTTGTTGTAGGATGACACTTCAAAAAATAAGAAATAACTGAAAATGCTGCTTTACAATAAAGTGTATATATATATATATATATATATACAAACACACATCAACAATAAAGAATTACAACCCATGAGAACAAAGAATTTAACTACAAACTATTAATAATTAACCTAAAAAAACATGATCTATACCACCCCAAACCACCACCACCACCACCACCACCATCAATGGCTGCCATCTACCCATGTGTCATCCTGGAAAACCTCAAAACTAGAAGCAACCACCACCGATTGAAGAAGCTCCGCCTCTATGCCGCCTGGCCATGGCCGTAACCGTTGGCTCCATAGGCACCGTTGCCTACGGGTCCTTGTTGTTTCTCTTCCTTCTTTCTCTTCAAAACAATGAACCAAGTGAAAGCTTCCAAGATGACGGCGATGGCGGCCAAAGATATAAGTACGCCAATGTATGCATTCTTCCACTTCTTCTCGGGGTCCAAAATATCGAGACCTTTGAACACGTTCGTGATGCCTAGGGAGATCACGGTGTATCCGACGCTCACGTGGTAGATGTTCCAATACATCCTGTATTTGTGATCGGGCTTCGGCCTCAACAAAAGTGCAAACACCTGAATCACAATCAAAATCAAAATCAGTTGATGTTTTTGGTTGATTTGCATCGAATAGATGCAAAAACAGTATAACAAAATCAGCTTTGTAAGACACCAAAAATGTGTAAATGTCTTAATAGACTGTGTTTATAAGACTTAAATTTATATAACTAAATAATCATATATTTTTATTTAAATATGGTACCATAAGATGTTGGGACGTATTAGACATGTTAATAAGTTTTTTTAGAACATTTAATAAATAATTTTTGATAAAGTATCTATATGAACCAATTTTTTTATAGAGTAAATTACAATTTTAGTCCCTATGGTTTGTAGTAATTTTTATTTTTGTTCTTGTGGTTTAAAAATTGCTATTTTCATCTTTATAATTTGTAATTTATTGTTATTTTCGTCACTGTATTAATTCCTACTTTAAGTAAGATGGCGACTTCGTACCTGTAGGGTTCCGAGGGCGAAAAGGGTGATCCCGATGTTACGATGAGTCGTATATTTGATACCGACCGAGTCACTACCGAGTTTGAGTCCAGTCCCCCACCCGGCGACTCCGAGTCCGTAGGCCGTAACTTGGATCGCAATATGGATGTAAAACCAAGCAGGATGTGCCACCTTGAATACCTTCAAATATCTTGCAATCATGGCGCCCATCGGCATCAAGATTCCCCAACTAACTGCGTTCAATACTCCATGAGTCTGCAAATTAGCAAAAAGGTCAATGAATCATCATGAAGATCACAACCCAGAGGGAAAAAAAATCATCTTTTTTGTTATAATTATGGTTATGGAGTCGGAAATCTTACGTTTCTCCGGTGAAGCAGTGAACCACCAACGCCGCCACCTTCACCAGCCTGACCGGTGACGAAATCCACCGTTCCGAGGGAATTTCTGTTCTCCGAACCCAAATTATGAGCACTCGGAGCTCCATTTGCAACCGGACCCATCTGCCAAACCTGATTAAAGTTGGTCCTCCCAGTAGGCAACACCAACGTCGCATAAATCACCGCATCGCCGTTAACGCTCTCCGCCCTAATCGCCGGCACGTCAAAGCTCAACGGACTTTGTTGCAGACCCGTCGCATAGCCGGTAACCGCCGAAGTGTAAGCTTGAACCGAGCCGTTTGAGTTGAATAAAGCTACAAGAGCTTGAGCACCAACCATCCCGGCTCCATCAACGTTGAGAGCCCAAGCGACCCATCCCGATGAAACCCCGGTGTGGCGGTATGCGACGTCGACGGTGCCGTTGCTCGCGTGGTAGTTCCAGTACAGATGCGAGTTTTGAACAGGTAAAGTGACACAGGTCGCGTAGATGGCGTTGTTTGTGAAGGAATATGAATTGCAATTTTGAGCAGAAGATAGGAGGAAATTGGACATGAAAATGCAAAAAAGAAGGTTGATAAATTTGCCCATTTGGGAGATTTTGCTGGGTTTTGAAGATCAAGATATGAAAGTGATGAAAATTGGGGGTTTATGAGAGATGGGATTGAACAACAACAAGTGAAGAAAGCTTTATAAAGCAACAATAGAGTTGACTGGTTCTTTATTGGTAGGAAGGAAGAAAAACAGGAGTTTGCAGGAAGAAGGTAGGAAGGTTTGATCTTGTGCCACTTGTGTCTTTGTTTATATCATATCATGTCATCAAATACATACATACATACATACACATACACACACACACATACATATATATATATATATATATATATATTTTCAAGAACTTTGGAAATCATCTTTGAACGCGTCATCTATTAACGTATTAGAATACTGGTTTTTGTTTAAAGGAATCTTTGATTGTTCGAGTAAATTGGAACTTCGTTTTGTTGTGTATTTACGTCAAATGTTCTATGTCTTGAAATGGTCTTGCATCGTTACTCACAGATGGAGATATTGGATTTTTGTTCAGTTGAATTTGTTTTATGTCTTGACAATTAAAAAGTGGAATATGTCTTTATCTTATATACTAAAAAACAAGTTTCGTTCATATTATTGTTATTCGTCATGACTATGTTTGTATCGTTTTGTTCTACTCATGATAAAAAAACTAAGGTTGTAAATAGCGTGAAACGTGTGTGGTGATTAGGTCAATCTTCAAAGTCGTAGGAGTTATGGTAAGATTACAGTGTTTTAAAGATATGATTTATGATAACAAATCTCGTTGGATCATCTCAATCTAACAGTCCATATGAGATCTTAGCACAACGTACGTATCACATACTTAAGATGACATAAGACACACGTGTCATGACGTTTGTTACGACGGGTTATATTAAATATTTTAATATAATAATAAGACGTATTTATTAAATGATACGTATCGTTTTGACGAAGTATTTTCCATTCCCATTTGTTGGAGTCGATTCCCCCAACAACTCCACTTATCGCAACCACCTGCCCCCTTTGTTTATTTAGGTCACCAAACCTTCTAATCAATCAATCTAACTGCCACCTGTCCTTCCTTTTTGTGAAAACCGATTCAATTTTGATTGGTTATTATTTTATTAAATAAACTCACACGACTTCATCATTTTTGTGAGGTTTGAACCATTGATCTTTTAAGAGGTTAAAGACAACGTTACTGTTATGTCAAAAACTCTTTGGTTTATTATTACTTTTTTGTTATATAAAAAATCCAAGATTTTAATTTGTACACGTGTCATAATTTTTTAATTTAAGAGGAAAAATTATTGAGACTATGATGTACTGCAAATTATATAAAAAGTCATACCGTACAAATATATTCAACCATAAAAAAAAATATGAAACAAAAAAAACAGAGACCGATTCAATTTTTGTTTAGAAAATAACGATATTATTTTATCAATGCTTTTTTGTCTTATAAAAAAATATAAAAGTTATAATTTGTACACGTGTTGTAATTTTAATTTGACTAAGGGGTCGTTTACCTAAACGCTTACCCGGTAAGCACTTACCGGTAAAATTCAACACTATCGCTTACTTACCGGATAAGATTTTATTCACTAAAACACATCGTATGCAACAGTTTATCCCGGTAAGCGCTAACCATGGTAAAAGTTATCGTCCTCACTTACCGGGTAAGACTCTCGATTCTTGCGTTCGTTCTTACCGGGTAAGATTTTTAGTCTTTGTCATATTCATCCGGTAAAGTAAAGTGGCTTGATAAGCGCTTACCCGGACAAGCATTTGGTAAACGGCACCTAAGTTGTAAAATATAGGACTTCTATTTCTAGTGTCCTCTGCTCGATAAAGGAGCATTTAGGCATCGGGAGTAAGAGAATGGTGATGTGCCCCGATTTACCCGACTCGAACGGGGATGGAGATTCCCCGTTAAAACGGGTCAGCCAAGGTCGGAGGATATTACTCAAATCGAGGCCGGGGTTGGGGATCTGCGGTAGATTGAAACTAACATATATTTTTCATAGGGTTTGACTGTGGACCGGGGCTATTACTAAAAACCGGGGCCGAGGAGTACAAAATCCGCCCCATCTCCATCCCGTCGCCATGCCTAATCGGGGGCAGCAGGAACGAGATAGAGCATCTATTTTAGTGGTAAATTTTTTAAAGGATGAGATTTGCGATTGAAAGTGATTTAATTTGGGAAAAATATATATGAATGTCATAAAAAATCTAAACTAAACCACAAGGGTGGTGCTTGATTGGTTTGAGCTTGACTCCAAAGGTCAAAAGTATCGGGAGGTCCCAGGTTCAAATCCAAGGAAGAATAAAAGTCCCCTTGTGGCCACGGAGGTTCAAATGCGGTGACTCCGGACTATCTGCAAAACAAGTGGTCGTCCTGGGATTAGTCGGCTCGCATAGCGGATTGGATATACAGGTTAATAAAAAAAATCCAAAATAAAAAAATCCAAAAACCCACTATACGAGCTAACTAATCTCAGGACGATCACTTGCTTTGCAGGTAGCCCGGAGTTACGACATTTGAACCTCTGTGGCTACAAGGGGATTTTTATTCCTCCAAACACTTTTGATCTTTGAAGTCCAAACTCAAACCAATCAGACGTGGTTTTTTTAATCTCATGTATAAACGTATTTTTGGGTTCCTTTTTTACAAGCAAAACATTCTGACGATTTATTTATTAAAAAATATTATATGAACATGTTTTACAGTTTCTAACTTTTAGATATTTTTTTATCTGATTTGCCTTTTACTATAATATATTGTAAAAGACAACGTCACTTCTGATGAATTTTTGACTTGAAAATAAATTCATAAGGTTTTTTCCATTATAAATAAAACATAAAATGAATTAATAATATAGTTAGGTAAAGCAAATAAATAGTTAAAAGCAAAAGCCTCCATGATCAAATTCGATTTATAATATCCAAAAAGTGGTTAATTTAAAAATAAAAAGTCAATATATAATTAAATTAAAAAACAAAAAATCAATATATCAAGTTAAAGTGCGTTACTTTTTCATACAACTTGTCATTTTTAATCACAGAATTTTAAAAAAATAATTTTTTTTACTGATATATACAAATGATTCGTTGTTCAGGGGTTCAAAAGTTTTAAACCTGAAACGGGGTTAGTGTATTTACGTATCGGAACTTGACTCGAATTGTTTGAAGTAGTAATGAGTAAAATGACAAAAATACCCTTAGCCATGGTCATCTGTTTTAATGTTCTAGAGGCTACAATTATCATGTTAGTTTACTTGGTGTTCACATGTCCAAGGTAATCTCTTTTGACTACCTAAACTTCATGCAATACAAGTTGTACTATTTGCTTGCTTGATTGTACATCTCTTCATCGATCACTTTTGTTTGCATCAATTGAACACAGTTTTTATTTTATTTTTAAATATTAAAAATCCAATCAACTTCTTTATTTTAAATGATTAAGGTTTTCTAAATAAAAAAATCACTAGTTTTTTTAATTTTGAATTATTAAATGATTGAACTCTTTTCTGAATAAATAAATTATTGAGCTTTTAAAAATTGATTACTTACATTCTTTTAACAAGAAAAAAAACTATCTGAAACCAGTTGGGAATGTTTTAAGATAGAAAAGAAAATCTAAATCGGTTTTATCATTCTCGGATCCTACGTCATCCAAACCCCTCGTCTTTTTTGCTCTATATTACCACTTATCACCGTCGTTGGTCTTTGTCATCGATCTCCCTCTTTTACATTTTTTTTGTCTTACAGTTCTCCATCTTTTTTATATGTCTATATGTGCGTCGTTAAATTGTTGTAAAATAAGGAGAACTGAAAGACGGGAAAAAAAACAGATTAAAAAAGAGGGAGATCGATGGCAGGGGCCAACAGCGGTGATGGGCGGTATGGAGAACAAACAACGATGGGGCAAAGGGAAGTGGCAAGGGGGGTTGATGTCGTTATATGCAAAGGGTATGAATGAGACGTAGGGCATTGAATGGTAAAACTTATTTATGTTTTCTTTTTTACTTCAAAACATTCCTAATCAGTTACACGTAACTTTTTTGGGTTTGTTTTTCACACAGAAACACACACACATACACACACAATTGAGACGACGTCGTTGTCGACATAATGAAAGTTTTGACGCTTTCTTGAAATTTTCACGAAGACATTGCGTGAGTAGAAGAAGAGGTACCAACAAACAAATAATTGAAATTAAAAGGAAAACTCGATAAATATATTATTGTGTTATCATTTGTTAACCAAGTAAATAGTATTAAATTTTTTTATGATCTAAGCCTTTCATTTTTTTAATCAACGGTTGTGATTAATGGGGAGTTATAATCTAATAGAAAATGAAACAAATTAGATTATATTAAATGAAGGGCATTTTTGGAACATGTTGTTTTATTTTTGGAAGATAGTTATATTTTATTTTTGAAAGATAATCAATAATATTATTTATTGATTAATTGAATGAGATAATTAAGAAATGTAATAATTAAGTGATGAGATAATTAAAGAATGTAATCATTAAGTAAATGAAATATTCAACGGTTTACGTGAAACGAAAGAACAGTCGAGGCCCGTGTTTGACATAAACAAAACGGTTTACGAGAAACCGCGAACGTAAAAATCGCATGAACTTTACCTTGCAGAGAGCACGAGCCAAAGACGAGCCAAGACTCTCTTTATATACTGTTGGAGACCTCGGTTTTGGAAGAAAATAATCGAGGGAGGTTGTTGCATACGATATCTTTTTGATAAGTGAGGGTGACGAATCGTACCCGAGTAAGCGCTTACCGGGTAATTGTTGCATACAATATCATTTTGATGTACTACAATCGTACCCAGTAAAATAAATTACAGTGTTGACTCCTAAGAATAAGTGCTTACCAGGTAAGCATTTAGGTAAACGGCCCCTAAGAAATCACTTAAAAACCCATATGGATTTCATTTTTCCACCAATGTACGACAAACCCACTTCCATTACTCACATTACAACATTTATCCTCCACCAACTACTTTGACAACAAATTTTTCATTCATATCAACTCCGTTTTATACGTGCAATATGTCGAATCGAAGCTTTCACTAAGAACGATGTAAACCCATAAATATCTATCTATCCCAAGTACGATTTAAGTATATTTTTTTGGTCTAAATCAGGTATAAAACACAATATTTTCCATAAAAAACAACCATAATTATTAATCACTTCGTTCCTCAAAAATAACATAACAAAATAAAAAACCGAGTGAACTTAGGAGGGGTAAAAAAGGAATTCCATTGAAAAATTAATTCGATTTTACATATTGATGTCATAACATATAAATAATTTTTACATATAAACGAACATAAGTAAACGAATGAGAACATTGTTTATGCTCGTTCATTTAACTAAACGAACAAAAAAAATATTCATGTTCGTTCATTTATGAAATTAACAAACGTAAACAATCTTTCCGTCAAACAATTTGTTAAACATTTGATTCGTTTACAACTCTAATAAAGATCGATATTGATCGACATTTTCTCTCTCAAACGGATATTTTCTCTTTTTAACCATTTGGGCCATTTGTACAAACTTCACAAATGAGATTGGGCCCTTTATGCAGCCCATATATGATATATGGAAAATAAACTTTTGAAAATAAGTTTCTGAAAATTAACTTTTAAAAATTGATTCCGCTCGACGTCCTATAGTTAAAGGGTGCTCAAAAACCCGATCAACCTAACCCAATCCAACGGGAATATAACTCAATCCGAAGCAACCCGATGTCTAATCGAGTTGTAAAATTTTCAAATCGTAGGTATTGGGTTGATATTGAGTTACTATTATTTGAACCCAACCCAACCCGATGGACCCAATATCATTTTATTTTTTGGATTTAATATGATTGTTGAGTTTATATATATATATATATATATATATATATATATATTAGACAATTATACTATCACGTACGCTCTTCATATATACATATTTTCAATCTATTCTCTATCTTTATATAACTCACTCGTATATATGTTTAGTAACTGTGAACATATATATGTAAATTGAGAAAATCAGTTGAATGTGATATACATAAGAAATATGGATAAGTTGTATAAAATGGTTGATGATGAAAAAGATATTATGAGTAGAGAAATGACACATTCAAAGTTAGAAGAATATTTTTATGTACCAAAGTATCAACCCGACCAACCCAATCAACTCGTACGGTTTAGATTGGGTTGCACTTTGTTTTAGGTTGGGTTGGGATAAGATTTTTCAAACCGCAAACATTGAGTTGAGTTGTTCAAATGTCTTCAACCCGATCCATCCAAACTCATGACTACCCCCTACCTACAAGGCTACAATACTTATTTTCTACTCTCGTTGATCCATTTTCCGTTAAACATCCACTTAGATACAACAATCCAACGATCACTAGTTATTGATGTAGGTGCACGAAAAATCAACGTTATATTCATTTCACTTTCGCGATCTTGATAATTTCCATAATCGACAAACCGGACCGTATATGTTTTTATGGAATAATATTATATATATATATATATATATATATATATATATTAATGATGTTTATAAATCAAACATGTCAAAAAGTCAATTAAGTGACAAAATGACAAGTGTCCCATGTTGTAAGGTGGTTTGATAGTGATATATAAGGTGGTTTATTCGGTAAGCTTGTAAGAGGAGTTTTAGATAGAAAATCAAGTTTTTCTAAACATGTTCTTCCAATTAAATAAACACGTTTATGACATTTATACAGATAGATTAATCCACACGATAAGCTTTATCCATAAAGACTTAGGGGCTATTTGGCAATTGCTGAATGGTTTGGTGCAGAATGATTAAGAGGCTTTCATGATATTGTGCAAAATGAAATATAATTGTTTGATAATTGTGTACAATGAAATTAGGGCTCTTAATGGTTAAGGAAGATCCATGATACAAAATTATTCAGAGGGTTTTGGAATCATTAAGATGCAGACTTTTTTCTTGACAAACAAAATTCACCTCTTAACAATTCAGAGAAAGCCTCTTAATGAAACTATCAATAGGTAAACAAACAACATCTTAATGTAAACCAACTAAACAACCTTTAGTTGAGAAAGCATATAAAAAATATATTTTTTTTTAAAACCCATTTTTATAATACTAGATTTGAAATACATTATTTCAACTTTTCTTATATAAAAACAATGATTGATTGACATCTTTTTTTAAATATATAATATTTATATACGACAAATGCAATAAATAAACTCACATACCCTCCTCACCTATGATGAGGTTTGAACTTCTGACTTTCTAGAAGGCCAAATACTACAATACCATTAGGTTAAAGGCCCTTTTGAACCCCTGAACTCTTTTTGATACATCTTTTAAACTTTTTTGAACATCAAAAGTCTTGGAGAGAATTTCAATCTTGAAAATGAAATGTGTTGTAAAATGTTGGTTGTTGAGAGCTTTTCAAGATCTAAAGTTTACAGAGTTTCGGCAGCCATACAGAGTTTCATATGATGGTGACTGGACGTCTGGTGTAGGGTTTTAAACGTTTAAAATTTTTATTCAAAATTAAATATGAAAATTCCGTACACGGTATACTTGTAAATGTTTCAAATCTTTCACCAAAATGACAAAAACTTTTTAATGTTATATTTTTTTGGTTCGAAAATATACTCTTTAGAACCACACGGGTGGTGTCCGATTGGTTTGAGCTTGGGCTCCAAAAATCAAAAGTACCTGGAGATCACAGGTTCAAATCTAAGGAGGAATAAAAATTCTTTTGTGGCCACGAAGGTTCGAACATAGTGAATTACAAAACCGTGGTTCCAAATTCCAACCATATCGAATCACGTGCACGCACGCACGCATACACATATATAGTTTTTTTTATATCAAAAAACTGATATTTCAAAACTGAAAATACACAGATCAAAAAATGATTTATAGAGAAAGAGTTATGAAAAATGTTACAAAAAAATTCACAGAAAGATTTATGATTACGAAAAAATCGTTACAAACAAATTACGAAATTACATAAATTGTTACGTATAAGAAACGGTTTACAGTTACAAGATAATTCATAGATCTTTTTATGAAACTTAAATATGGATTTACGTTCACGAAATGATTTATGAAATAGGTTACGGTTACGAAATGATTAAAAGTGTCATGACCACAAAATGAATTACAAAGTAACTTATAAAATTTAAATATATTACGAAATTACAGATATTGTTACGTATAAGAAAAAGGTTACAGTTACAAGTTATATTACAATGCTGCATTTATAATTATAAAAACATGTTTTTTAACAAAATATTGCAGGTAATGTTTCATATGTCAGTGTCATGATCAAACATCATAAAAATATCATGTATGCATGAATAAACATGATACGATCTCAACATCGGTTCAACCTGTTGCAGATGTATTTTTGTGATACTTGCATCGGTTTATATCATGGCTTAACCAGTTACGTAGTATACTTCACAGCATTTGTACCGGCCTAACTCAAATAAGCAGATAAGTGCATAACGCGATTCGTGTACTGGTCTACCAAAGTGAAATCAAGTGCTTAGTGCACGTAGAGATAAACAAAAGCTAGACCCAACACATTAAAAGTCAGTTAGGGCAGGATCGAACCATAGGACGTGGTTAGGACTGAAAAACTCGAGCATGCTCATATTTTCTTGTCTAGGTATGGTTACATCCAAGCTCGGTAAAATCCCGAATTGAAGGCAAGATAATCATTGTTAAGACTGGTCAACAGGATAATTATTCCATAAAAGGAAGACATAAAAGAGATATTATTGATATTTAAAATACTGAACATAAACCACAAAGGTGGTGCCTGATTGGTTTGAGCTTGGCTCTAAAGGTCAAAAGTACCAGGATGTTTCAGGTTCAAATCCAAAGAAGAATAAAAATCCCCTTGTGGCCACGGAGGTTCAAATGCGGTGACTCTGGGCTATCTGCAAAGCAGATGGTCGCCCTGGGATTAATCGGCTCGCATAGCAGGTTGGATATTCAGGTTAATAAAAAAACCGAGTCGATCGTGTATAGCTCACAAGTTATCTCGTTTCATTTACACTCCTAAATTATACTTCTTCCTCACTCACATACATTCTATATAAAAGGCTATGTTGAAACCTAAATACCTTTCTAATTATAATTTTTCCCCATACGTTACACATATACTGAAAATACGCATTTTCGTTACCAAGTTGAGATATAATTGTCCAGTTTTTTTTTTATTAACCTGGATATCCAACCCGTTATATGAGCTGACTAATCCCAAGACAACCAGATGCTTTGCAGATAGCCTGAAGTCACCGTATTTGAACCTCCCTGAGACGTCCAGGTATTTTTGACTTGTGAAGTCAAACTCAAACCAATCAAACATCACTTTTGTGGTTAATTTGCCGGCTTTTGGTAGAACATTGCAGCTAGTATTGACTTTGGTTGAACCGACATGCGTATGAAAGTCATAAAACCCTATCCCTTTCTTGTTATTGGGTTCATCCCCAAATTTCCAAAAGATCGGACGATATTCTTTCTACTGAATACCATTTAATAGGCTTTTGCTGACTAGCTTTCTGGACAAGTGTCCTCACTCATTATTCAGCCAAAAAGTTTGTTGCTTAATGGACCCTCACTCATTAATCTTTCTTTGTCCCATTCATCCCTCACAACGTCTTTATTCATGCTCCAGCTCTTTAGCTTTTTGTTGGATTCATCATCATTTCGTTTTCAAACTTTAGGGTTCATCATTGAAAGTACCAAATTGGAGCTTGCATTTCACTGGGTTTTTCCAAGATTTCTTGAATAACTGTGGGGTCTGTTTCGTTTCTAGGAATTGTGATTAGGTTTGGATTTCACTGGGTTTTCCAAGATTTCTTGAAGAAAAAAGATTCATAGTCTTGAGTGTTTGGCTACCTGTTTTTGGGGTTTGTTTCATTTTTTAGGAATTGTTTATTGTTCTTCATCATTCAGGAGCAATTAGGTTTTGGATTTCATAGAGTTTTCCAAGATTTCATTGGTAAGTTCTGATTTAGGGATTCTCATATCGTTATTTCTTGAAATTTGAGATCTGAATCTGCTAATTTCTTGCTCTCTAGGGTTCATTTCTTGAGGGTTTTTGATTATTAATCTACTTTCATCAAAACCCATATCACTGTTTTCAAATTCGTGATCTTAAAATCAATTAATCATTATGGGATCTCGTCAAAATGTCATCTTGCCAAATAAAGAGGGGTTTATTGGTGTTCTTGAGGTTTTCATACACCAAGCTAGAGATATACACAACATATGTATTTACCATAAACAAGATGTTTATGGCAAGATTTTCTTGACAAGTGACCCCGAAGCAACCGAGTCAACTCGGACAATCAATGGGGGAGGACAGAACCCTGTTTTTAATGAGAATCTTAGGATCAATGTTCGAAATGGGGATTGTTCTCTGAGATGTGAAATTTGGATGCTTAGTAGGGTTAGAAATTATCTTGAAGATCAGCTTTTGGGGTTTTCTATGGTGCCTTTATGTGAAATTCTTGCCGAAAATGGAAAGTTAGAAAAGGAATTTGAACTTTCAACTAGCGAACTTTTCCATTCGCCTTCTGGTTTCGTTAAATTAAGCATCACCTACATTGGATCGGAGCCAGATGTGATGGAGATACCGGTGGCTCATCGTTGTGTATGTGATCAAGATTCAGAAGAATGTGATCGAGATTCTCGTGAACTAGAAAAGTTAGAGTTCCCCGATCCAAAGGTCATGAACGAAAACGAAATCATGGTTTCTGAATATTATTCTAACAAGTATGGGACCACCGAAACTGATGATTCTCTTAGTTCGGATTCTAACAATCATATAGTTTCAGGAGTTCCTGAAGAAAATCTTGAAACTACTTCCCTTCCAAACGTTGAAATCCCGTCAAGAAACAACCCCGAACCATCAGAGAAGAAAGAAGAGAGAACCCAGAGTGTCGTTGACTCATTGGCGCAGCCTGGTATTGGATTCAAATCCGAATCAGAACAAAAAGTGGTGCAGCAAGAGATTGTGGATATGTATTTGAAAAGCATGAAGCAGTTCACCGAGGCTTTGGCGAAGATGAAGCTTCCAATGGATACCAGAAGCGACTCACCTGATATCGGGGGTAAAAATGGTACAGAATCGAACGGAAAAGAGTCAAACGGGGAGGGTCCAAACCCGAAAGTTTTCTATGGGAGCAGAGCGTTCTTTTGATCCTGTTATTTGATCGGTTCAGCAGACAACGCAGTAAGCTTCAGTGTTTCTGGTGCATTTTGGTAGTAGAGATCTATAATCTAGATTAGAAATAAGTTCCACCGTGTTGTTTTTCTAGCTTTGATGTATTCCTATACGTGTTCTAGACTTCCGGTGTATGTATGCAGCTACGGTTAAATAAATGGATTGTTTGCCTTTCGACTGTATTTCTTACATTTCCGCATTTGAATCTACGAATCTGCAGTTACAAAGAAACACCAAGACTAGAAGAAACATCGCAAATAGATATGTATAAGGTTTTAGAAAGAAGTAGGATCAGAAATCCGTGCGATAGAACTCATGATTCGACCTCCCGAATGTCGTAAATGATGGCTGTTTCTCTGTTTTCTGAAAGGATTCATATCTGGGCATGAGGTTATGATCAAGAATCAAGAGTTCACCCTTTTGGGGGGATGTCATGATGTTAAAAGCTACATGTGCTTCCTTATTTGTGACCTCTTTGCATTACTGCTATCTTTTTGGTTACATAAAAGCAAAACCATGAAAATCTTTACAACCTGTCAAAGTAGGGTAGAATATGGTCATGTTCAAGCAAGCAGCTTAAAGCAGCATGCACCAACATCGCAAGTTGCTAAAGTGCTACTTTCAATGGCGATATTAGAAGAATATGTGAGTTTGTTTGTTCTATTTACCGTATATAAATATTATATCCTTAAGTATATATATAGAGGAGGGATCAATTGCAAACCACCAACATTTGTGAAAAACTTACAAACCAATCTCATCCATTCATTTTATTGATCAATGGTCAAAGATTAAATGAGTTTATATTAGGAAATAAAAAAATAAAATAAAAAAGTTTAATTTTTAATTGAAAAAAGGGCAAATCTGTAAAATTCTCTATATTGGAAGGTAATAAATACTGTTAATTTTGGAAACGTAATAATGGAAACGTTTCATATAGAAAGAATTAAATCATTTCTTTTTAATATAAACGTTTTACCATTAATATGTTTTATTATTTTTTACCATTATATTTTATAAAAGTATGAATTATTACGTTTCCATATTACGTTTTACCATTAATATGATTTACCTCCTTCTATATGAAACGTTTTCATTATTACGTTTCCAAAATTAACAGTATTTATTATCTTCCAATATTAATCAATATATAATGAAATGACTATTACACCCTTACTGATTTAAATTAAAGAAAAAAACGAAATTTTCCTATTGGTCGAAAGTGGTTTGCATGGTTTTCATGAATTGAGCAGTTTGCAACGTAGCCCGCCTCAATATATGTACATGTATATATATATAATTTGAATGATTGAACTCATAACCTCTGTCGTTTTTTATCCAACTTTTAAGGCAACATATATTTATCTCATTCCCTAGATCAAACTGTATTGACTTTCTCCCCAGGTCAAACCGCGATTTTGCAAACCTTTTTTTTTTGTACTGTGAGTTTATGGGCCAGCTTACGCCCACCAACTAATCCCCGGGCGACCACGAATGGCATGGAGTCATCGCAGGTGAACCTCCATGGGGCCACAAGGGCTTTGGTAGTGCTTGGATTTTGCGGACCTTTAATCCACCTTAAAGATGCACCAGCTCAAAGAAATTCAAGGTCCGCCATTGACTACTTTTGAAATACTGACATGGAAATGTCATTTATGCAACTTGCTAAAGTGTTAAAGTCACGTCAGCGTTTTGCAATTAATACTTTAACAACTTGTTAAAAGGTCACTTTATGAATATTAGATTCATAAAAAATAGATTTTGCAAGTTGTTAAATGCTACTTGTAAAATAAACTGGTGAGTTTAGAATGGCTATTTTGGACAATTTTACCCTTTTTGTTCCTCTTTTTATGTTCATCATCAGTCAATGCCTTAGAAAATTCTAAAAAAGTTTGAAGGCAAAATGAGTATGGCAGGTGTTCCACTTTTACTCCTTGTGTGAGTTTTCTAACAGCATGGTGTTCCTTATTGGAGGTGCAAAAAAGCCAGACCTATGAGTCTTGGTAGAGGATATTTATTCTTTAAGCATCTAGAATTTTCTAGAAGTTCGGTATTTTTCATGAAAAGAATGTTCGAAAGGACCATCATGCTATGTTTTTGGAAGATCGTTCTTTTTCTAGAATCACCCTTTGTGCTTCGCTCGTGTTATCTATCTACACGCGGGCAGGTAGTGCCTTGATTAGGTGATTGATTCACTAGCTTGCGGTTTGACTTGAATTTTTGGATGAATGGGATTAACGGGCTATGTAGAAATCAACCATCGAGTCTTTTGACCAAATTGTGATACTTTTATGCTTTTCCGAATAGAGCTGCACAAAAAGCCCGAAACCCATTCGGGCCCAGCCCAAAAATCCCAAAGCTTAATCCCATGTTAAGCCTAAAAGACCGTTCAGACCAACTTTTTTTTTCCAAAAAACCCAAAATTTCTAAATCATTTGAAGTTTTATAGCTATAACCTACTTGTATATGGTTTTATATCAGAGTCACAGTGGAAAAACATAAGTGTACGTTTTGAAACACCATGACTCTTTAAGGCTTGAGGTTGACCTCACCGTCACGTCATTTAAAACCTATAGTCGTCTTTCCCCACTAATTCTGCCAAACCTGTTCCCATGGGCGTAGTTTCGCTGAATAGTAAACAAGGACAGTATTGGGAATCTCGTTAATCCATTCATGCATGTTAAATCAGATGACAAGGCATTTGGCTACCTTAAAAAAACCCGGTGAATTAGGCATTGTGGGTCTTGCAGCGCTACTGAAACCACCCCATCAGTGTTTGGTGCTATAGGCCGAGGCAAGCTGACGACATGGTGTCGTGAGGCGTTTAGAACGACGGTTAACGAAGGCATACCACCATCTCAACTCAAAAACCAATCACAGAAACAAGATAGTAATTCTAGAAAACTTATTAATGGAAACCCTACATGGGTAATATCCCTCAAATGTAGTAGTAAAAAACCAACAAGAATCCTGATGCAATTCTTAACCAGAAACAACAAAATCCCCAATAAAAATTCGAAAACGAAAACGATAAACGACGATGAGCTACAAGTTTGCAGTTTCCGTTTCTCTTTCTTTTCTAACAGGAAAAACAAAATCAAGAAACCCTAAACCTTAAAACCAAAAAGCATCATTTTATCCTGTTTTTCATGCATCGCCCGTCTCACCAGAGATGCAAGATGATACATTTCTTGACTATACGCCGCAACCTGATTTTACATCTCACTCAAAAAGACCAAAAATGTAACTCAAATTCAATCCATAAAAACACAAAAAAAAAAAAAAAGAAATAAAGAACTCACTTATAAGCCTTCTTCTATCTCTAAAACGAGCATTCTACTTAGCTCTGGAGAAGATAACCCGACTTTTTTTCAAGTTTTTTCAACATACAGAGGTTCGCAAAATTCACAGTTTCACCTGGTACACCAAGCTTCATCTACTATTGTCGCCTTTCGAAGCCCAAACTAGCCAGCAATTCCTGTAGTAAAACGAAAAGGGTATGTTAGAAACCATTAGAAACGCTACAGGAGTCATTAGATCGTGATTTGAGGTTAAAGAACATGATCTTTGATGTTCGTTTATGAAATTATGAACGGGTTTTCATCTTCTATAGCTTGGATTTTGATCTATGTAGCAAGCCATGAACGTTTGAATCGATGGGTGATATTATAAGAAGTTAGATTTTTGAGTTCTGTAACAATTTTCATTAAGATTCATATCAAGATGAACAAGTTCTTGATGATTTCTATGATTACAGCTTCAGAATTATGGTAATTCATGCATTTGATGTTAGTTACCGTACAGTACACATGCCGCTAAAGCAAAATTGACTTTATAGGACGTCAAATATGTTTAAATATTCTAATAGACTGTATTATAGGACTTAAGTTTGTTGGACCAAACAACTGTGCGTCCTATGTAAAGGTGTTATAATAAGTTGATAAACTGCTTTTGGGCGTCCTAACAAGTTTTCAGGACACTTTTGAAATAAAAAGTGCTATTAGTCTTTTTTATATGGCATCATTCGAAAAAATGTCTTATAAAAACAATTGTTTGTTTGTCCTATAAACTTAAGTCCCAAGAAGCAGTCTATTGGGATATTCAGACATATTTGGCGTCTTATAAAGCTAATTTTGTCGTAGTGTGGGATCATTTAAAGAGTAATGGTACCTCTGTTTGTGTGTCGCTTGGCAACGGTATAAGCACCAACATAACCAGGAGAACTTTTAGTTTGCACATCAGAACCGTCACCGCCAATCCCATACCCGCCAAACGAACCAGACCCCTCTTGCTCACTATTTCCCGACCGCCAAGTTGGGTCTCCGCCATAAACAGAGCTGCCGCTAGCACCACTATAAAAGTCAGAAAAAGGCCCTTCATAGCCGCCACCACCACCGTTAGCAGCGGCACCACCACTAGTCGCAACGTTTCTACCATACCCACTGCCGCCTCCTAAACCATAACTGTTATCACCTCCTCCGTAACCAAGATTCCCACTCTGCGTAGAAGAGTTCCCAATCCCGCCACCTTGATTTGCAATTGGAGAAGAACCCCAATTGAGACTAGAATTCCCAAATAACCCCCCGCCGATAACCCCACTTCCTGATCCAACATAACCACTAGATCCCGCTGAATTTGATCCATAGTTAAACCCGCCATTACCCCATAAGTTCCTCGGAGTCGAACTGAAGAAAGAAGTATTCCCTCCATTCCCACCATCAAAATTTATAGGACCCGTGAACCGATTTGAAGTCCCTACAAAATAAGGACTCATTCCCCTTCCGTAGCTTAAAGCCCGATTATAGTTAGGGCTGCTCATATTTGGTTCAAAGTTTAATCCCATTCCGTAACCAGAACCAAAAGTAGCGAACCCACTTCTACCAGCCGGAACCGGACTGAACCTGCCATCCATTCTAACACCATAACCTCCAACCACACTAGGAGAGTAGGATCCTTGAGTGTAGCCATTAAGAAAGCCACTGGTTCGACCCAGACCATAGGGGTACGCACCAACCATGGTTCGGCTAGGACTGGGTGAAAGTTCTTTTGGGACAGCACGTTTAACTTCAACCATTTTACCGTTCAGTTCATGGAAAGTTTTCAAGAGGACTTTATCTACGGCTTCTTCTGAATCATAAGTAATGAATCCAAATCCTCTTGGCCTTTGTGTATTATGATCATACATAACTACGACATCTGTAATATTACCAAATTGCTCAAAATACCTCTTGAAATCATTCTCGGTGACGGTGGATGCTAAACCTCCTACGAATATCTTTCTTGTTCGGCCTGCAACTGGAGATCCCTGAATGCTATTGCTGTTTCTACTGATTGTGCTTTGATCATCTCGAGGAACAGCCTTCTTAGCCTCGACCTGAGATTTTACTTGAATCTTTAACAAGATTGTATCACGTTTAAAACCCTCAAAACTGCTCTCAAGATTTGGTTTGATGATCGTGAATCTTGATTAAAGATTCAAACTTGCAATTTAATTCGTGGGAATTTACCTAACAGTTCTGAAAATCAAGAAATGCAGTAAAAGGTCCCCAAGATTAACTTAAATCTTCAACAAGATCTAATTATGCTTAAAACGCACAAAACTGCTCTCATGATTTGGTTTGATGATCATGAAATCTTGATTAAAGATTCAAGATTGCAATTTAATATGTGGGAATTCACCTAATAGTTCTGAACATCAAGAAATGCACTAAAAGAGACTAAAATTAACTTGAATCCTTAACAGGATCTAATTATGCTTAAAACCCACAAAGCTGCTCTCAGGATTTGGTTTGATGATCATGAAATCTCGATTAAAGATTTGAGATTGCAATTTAATTCATGGGAATTTACCTAATAGTTCTGAAAATCAAGAAAATGCAGTAAAAGATGCTAAAGACGATCGAATTACCATTCGGCCATCGATGTTGTGCTTCTCTTTGATGACTCTTTCGGCAACAGCAGGATCCGCAAAGACAACGAAACCGAAACCACGAGCACGGCCAGTGGTGTGATCTTTCATAATAACAGCTTCCAACACCTCACCATAACTACTGAAATACTCCTGTAAGCGTTCTTCGTTCGTATCCCATGATATCCCACCGATGAATAACTTACCAAGATCCGATTGCATTTTTCTACACACAAAAATCAATCAATCAAAAACCTGTATTTCAACAAATCCACACTCATCCAAATCATAGTTTTCAACAAAAAACAGGGTTTGAAATTTGAACAATATCCATCATAACCCAAATATCGATCCCAAATAGACCGAAATCGGTACCAGATGGTTACAAAAATTCATCGAAATCAAAGACTTCAATTCCCCTAAATCATCCAAGTTCATAAAGTGAAAATGCAGATCAAACTAACACAGTTTAAAAGCAATATACCTTGCTTTTAAGTTACAAGCAGATTAATACGCCTAATATCAAATGGGTATTATCGGATTCAATAAGAAAACATCGGATCCCTCGATGACGATCAATCTAACACCAATTCAAGTCCTCCTGAAAAGGGGTTCACAAAATTCAAAGAAATCAATCAATCAATCAATCAAGAAACAAACTTTTTGTCAAAAATTCACCCAATACATCGACACCCAATACCCAAATCAAGAACAACAATAAACCCGATTGAATAAATACCCAGATGAGAAACCTTGAAAAAGGAACAGTTAAGATCTGAGAGGAGGAGCAATAAGAACCGAGGGCATGTTCATCCTCCTCGATACTGCCCCCTCTGAGTTGTTCAGATTTCAATTCCGATTTCAGAATAACTTGTCTGTTTGACAAACAAATCTTGATGTGGGCTTCTCTGATTCTATGTATACAATGAAAGATTGTCGAAAAAGATCAAAATTTTCATAATTAAAACCAGAATGATGAATATATGCGGATAGAGAGAGAGAGAGAGAGAGAGAAAGAGGGGAAAAGAGAGAGAGAGAAAGAAAAGGAAAAGAGAAATAAAATTTGGGTGTTTGATCTGATAAATGGAAGCAATGCTTGTCCTCCAATTCGATCCTTATATACTTATTGGGAAAATCTTTGGTTATCAGTCCTATGTATTATGTACATGCATATGCGTATGAATGGTCATGTAGCGATGTTTGCGATACTGCTGCTGCTAGATCAATGATGGACGGTTCTGATCATTTTCCCCATTGGATTTTCCCTATGTCCTTCTACACCCGATGTTAAAGGGTTCATGTGTTGCTTCTAGATTTTGAGTTTTTTTTTTCAATTAAAAAACCATTAAATCAAATGAATAATTATATTAAAATGAAATTTATTTTATTTTATGAAACCAATTTTTAAAATGTTAATTTAGAGCGTGTTTTATCGTATGAGAAAAAAGGTCTAAACAGTCGAACTCAAAATTCACGTTCTGATGGTGCAATTGTATTTTTAACGTGCATCAAGCTACGGACAACACGAGTACCAAGTTTTCAAGTCTTTTAATACATTTTGATAAATTATTATAAATATGTAATGACCAGTGTTTTACTTCATCTCGTTATTGTTTCTTAGATCTTAAAACAAAATGTATTAAACCACAAGGATGGTGCATGATTGGTTTGAGCTTGGGCTCCAAAGATCAAAGTGTCTGGAGGTCTCAAGTTCAAATCCAAGAAGGAATAAAAATCTCCTTGTGGCCACGGAGGTTCAGATGTGGTGACTCCGGGCTACCCACAAAGCAGGTGGTCGTCCTGGGATTAGTCGGCTCGCATAGCGAGTTGGATATCCAGGTTAATAGAAAAAATGTATTAGTGGTTGTGTTTCTGTTTGTACGAGACTCATGTGATAGAATTGACAACTGATTTGCGATATCAATTTGGAAGCATTTTTTGTAAATGGTTTATAAATTGATTCATTAATGTACTAAAAATATCCAAATTTATAGTGTATCGATTACAGACATCCATTGATATCACTGAGGTTGGGCCAAATTAGCCATAATGGTACGCCTTATTATGGATAGTACTATTTCGAGCAAGCACAAGCTCCAAACACCGTACTTTAAGTGTAAAAAACTCCTAGATCTTACCAAGAAATAGGCAAGCGCACGACAACAAAAAAAAACTCCTTTCTGACTTTTGTCACTAACATGGCTTCCTACTTATAGATTTGGCAACGAACTACTCAAAAGAAAATGCAAAAATTAAGCGGTAAGCACACAAAATAAGTGATTTGATTTGATTTGATTTGCTTCTTCCCCTAGTTGGTTGTGTGCCTGTGTGTCTGTCCACCCCTTTAACCATAAATAAATGATGGATTTTGATTTGCTTTATTTACTCTTGATGATCTTCTTGTTCGTGTTTGCGATGCACTTACCGGTTGCATAATAGTCGTATCACATAATCAACAATAGATTGGTTTGGCATGAAGTTCTTATGTATAGAACAAGAAAACCCCCGACTCATTATCCATGTGCATTCAACTTATGAGACATGCTATAATCGCCACTGCATTTGACAAAAAAAGGAACATAATTGTTATATATATATATATATATATATATATATATATGGAGAGAGAGGGGGGAGCAATCAAATGCAAATCACTCATATTTGTTCAAATCGTGCAAACCATCCTTATCCGTCGATTTTATTGTTTAATTTAATGATTTTGTTTCATGAAATTGCTTCATGTAATATTTTTCTAGATGAAGTTGTTTCATATAATACTTATAAAATTTTAATGAAATTGTTTCATGTATTTCTTTAAAATTAATATAATGAAGATGATAATATTCATTATTAACACCCTTCACAATAAAAATAATTAATCAACCTCTCATAATTACAAAAAAAATGAAAAAACTAGAAAAAATAAAAAATTATGATTGGTTGAATAAAGTTTGTACAGTTTGTAAAGTAAATCTCCTATATATATATGTACATATATATACATATATACATATATATATATATATATATACTTGAGATCATGTGAGACCAAGGGTTTTTTGTGAGACCCGTAAGACCAATTCTCAACCCTATGGATTACATCTACAATCTGAACATTCATAATTACAAAATTGTCACGAGACTTCTCAATAATCACAAAATTGTCACCGTACAACTTTAGACCATTAGATCATTAGCTTATAAAGTTGATCAATGAACATAAATTGGTCTTACGTGTCTCACGAAAAACCTTTCGTCTCACGTGAACCCAACCCTATATATATATATATATATATATATATATATAAGGAATAAATAAAATGTTATTTAAGAAAATTGCATACAAACATAAGTGGGAAGGAATACAATACCTCTTTATTCTTTAAGCACTACATCAGTCTCCTCATCGTCAACCTCCAAAAGATTGGGTTCTTGAAGAAACCAAAGACATAAGAAACTATAAATATGTATGATAGTCAGTACATGCATCCGAATGGGTACCTCTCACATTGGACTAGTGGATAGTGGTCAAGACATGTGTTCAAGAGCGCTTCCGAGCTTGACTAGTTTATAGACATAAAGTGGATGAATCTCTCACCATGCGAGTGGACGTATATCGTTAAACGCTAACCACCACCAACCAATCCAAACCCGTGTGTTTAAAATAAAAAAACCTTAAATCAAGATTAAAAAAAAAACTTATATAAGATCACTGAAAACCCACTGAAGTCATTGATCATGGAGAATGTGCCAACATCGGTCCAATGGCAGAGGAGCCCTCATCTTCGTCTAGTGACAACAATGGTAGGCTTGTGTTGTATTGACAATGAAGAACATCCAACCCTTAGAAATGGCAACCGAGTCTAACCCGTGGCTAGTGGTAGATGATTGCATTTTTGTTTTACATCAAGCAGAAACCAAACCGAAATCAAAGCTATAATAGGTAGTTTTTTTCAAAATACAATGCCCTAATAAAAATAGTTTGAAAATACAATGTTTCAATAAGAAAAAATGAAAGTACAATGTTATAATAAGAAAATTTATAAAAGTAAGTTATTATTTCATGTATTTAACCCATTACAATATGATGATAAATTGCACAATCCAACCAAAAAATGCTTGTATTGTGCTAATTTTCATCATTTGTTATATAGATACGAACCAAAGCGTTCTGTTATTCAATAATACGCACATTTTAAAGGTTTCAGTAAGATATTTATACTACAGAAAGATAAGATATAATACAATTCCGATGAGGAGAACAATTATAATATCATTGTCGTTACTGATGATTTATCTTTATTGACTTATTTAAAATCAAATAAGAACGATGCAAGTAATATAATTTTGAAAGTTAAGTAGGACAGACTGATAAATTTCCAGTTTAAACGTGTAATAGAATAAAATATGAACGTATGATGGAGTTTGTATTTATTTTGCCTAAATCAGTAGATCTTAATAGTAATACCGTGTGGTATATGACTCATTGATATAAGTGGATATCTAATAATGCTTAGGTTGCATACTGTTAAAATAAATTTCATTAAAAAATGTAACGTTTAATTTAATACAAATTAATTGTTCGGTTTTATTTGATACTTGGGACCATGTACGATACCAAGTTGATTCGGGGTTTTTTTTCAATCCTCATCAAATCATTTATCTTTAAATTGAACCAGTTTAATTGATTTAGCTTGTTTGGTTCAGTTTAATTTGCAATATTTGGACAATTAATTACATCCTTGATTGGTCAATTTTGGTCATTAAATATGGTGCAATCATATTTGATATATATATATATACATATATATATATATATATGGACCCATTCAAGGGAGAACTGATTCGTTTGTGGTAACTGTGAGATCCAATCTCAACCACAAATCAACGGATAAATTGGGAAATTAATAATTATGGTAGTTTGAGATAAAATTATAATTAGAGGGCATTTTAGGTATTTTTAAAAAACTCCTCTAATTATAATTTTAACTCAAACTACCACAATTGTCAATTTCCTAATTTATCCGTTGATTTGTGGTTGAGATTGGACCTCACAGTTACCACAAACTAATCAGTTCTCATTTGATTAGACCCCTATATATATATATATATATATATTACAATAATATTTGATAAAAATAAATAAAAAGATAGAGTTGTGCACAACTAGATCATATATATATATATATATATATTACAATAATATTTGATAAAAATAAATAAAAAGATAGAGTTGTGCACACATATTGATCTAGTTGCATAAAAACCAAAAATGAACCAAAATAATAAACAGATAAATAAATAATTTACAATTTTGTACTGTTCTTTATCTAATAAAATCTAAGATATTTTTAATTTATTATAGTTATTTTTTTAAATTTTATATAATGTTTAAAATTGTAAATTTATCTATATCTATACTATATTATAAAACATTTGGCTAAAACTCTTAAAAACTCTTAAAACTCTTAAACTCTTAAAAACTCTTAAA